GAAGGAAGGGGAATCTTGAATTCTGTCCTTTGTGTACTTTCCAAAGCACAAATACACACACCCACACACTGTTCCGTGCTAGCGAGAAAATGCACCCCAAATGCATAATTACGCAAGGCCCGGGCACTCCGGTTGCTGTCCTCTGCAACTCTGAGGGTTCGTTCTTGGTAAACCCAGAACAAGGGTTGTGGTAACCATGAGTTTGGGCCCAGGGGCACTTTCACAGTGAGGAATTGTCCATTCTTTCTGGTAGTCTGGATGCTTCCATGTACCATCCAAGTCAAACACTGAGATTCGTCGTACCACTGGCTCCAAACCGGGAGAACCATTGGTTGGGCCCGAGCTGTACCAGCGCTGCCTTTTAGAAATCCCAGTTCTTTATCCTCCGCATCTTTAAGGCTTCATATTCTGCTCTTGGGCGCAGTGCAATCAGGGGGTCATGTTCTGTCAGGGGGGACTCTGCCAACTTGAGTTTTTGGCTCTTTTTATGATTCCTCTTTCTGGAAGACTTGAATCAGATTTTCCTAACCTCTGTCCTACTCCCATTCTTCCTGGAGTTGGCTTCCTGTTTGGTATTTCTTAAACAGGCTCTCTCCTAGGGTGGAGTAATGATTTTTATCACAGTGATTTTTTTTTTTTTTTTAAAGATTTTATTTATTTATTTGACAGAGAGAGACACAGCGAGAGAGGGAACACAAGCAGGGGGAGTGGGAGAGGGAGAAGCAGGCTTCCTGCAGAGCAGGGAGCCCGATGCGGGGCTCGATCCCAGGACCCCGGGACCATGACCTGAGCCGAAGGCAGTCGCTTAACCAACTGAGCCACCCAGGCGCCCCCACAGTGATTTTATCCACTGTATTAATTAGAGTATTGCTACTGTGATAACACCTCTCACGGTTTCAGTGGGCTGGTGCTTGTCTCTTGTTTATGTAGTGGTCTGGAGTGGGTGTTCTTGGTGGTGGGTGTCTTTCTTCTACTAGGAAGAGCGTGAATCAGAGATCCAGGCTCTTTCCATCCTCTGATGCCACTATTCCAGCTGGTAGCAGGAGGAGGAGTGTGGAGAGGCCACACTGCTTTTTAACTGTCCTGACCGGACATCACTTCGGTCCCACATTCCATTGCTGAGAACTAGTCATGTGATCCCACCTAGCTGCATGGGGACCTGAGAAATGAAGTCCTAGATGGGAATGTAGTTGTTGGCAATAGTAGGAGTTCTGTCTTCATCACCTAAGGTAGGGCATGGATAAATGCCCATGTGGGTGGTCCTGAAAAATTCTGACACGTGGGAGTTCTCTGAGTGGAGGGGGAGAGCTTTGTGGAAGAGGGCATGTTTGAACTGGAGTTTGAGAGGTGGCTAAAGCTTTTTTTTTCTTATTTATAGATGTGCTTTATTTGGCTGTGTATTATTTACATTGTTTGTATCTGATGCCACCACTTAAAAGTTAGGTGATCTGGGGCGCCTGGGTGGCTCAGTTGGTTAAGCGACTGCCTTCGGCTCAGGTCATGATCCTAGAGTCCCGGGATTGAGTCCCGCATCGGGCTCCCTGCTCGGCAGGGAGTCTGCTTCTCCCTCTGACCCTCCTCCCTCTCATGCTCTCTGTCTCTCATTCTCTCTCTCGCAAATAAATAAAATCTTAAAAAAAAAAAAAAGTTAGGTGATCTCTCATGAACACACATAAAGTTAGCTTCTGAAATACTAAGGGGTGGCAACGCGTGGCCTGCATTCCAGCATGAAAGGAATCCGAGCTGAGAAGAGCTGCTCTCTGGAAAAGTCTCTTCCTTATCCTGCTTCGCTGGTTTCGTTTGCTTGCTTGCACCCCAGGACTTTTGGATTTGAAACTACAGTTACAATCCCTTCTGGTCTGAGTAATATATTATTTCCTACTGCTGCTGTGACAAAGTACCACGAACTTAGTGGCTTACAGTCACACAGATCTATTATCTTACAGTTCCGGAGCTCTGGAGTCTACAGTGGGTCCGTAGGGCTCTGTTTTCTTCTTGAGGCTCCAGGGTCAATCTATTTCATTTCCTTGCCTTTTCCAGTTTCTAGAGGCCACCTGCATTCCTTGGGTTGTAGCCCTTCCTCCGTCTTCAAAGAGATGGCTAAGGTTTTAACCAGATAGAGGGAAAAAGGTTCATCTTTCCTTTTTTTTTTTAAAGATTTTATTTATTTATTTGACAGAGAGAGACACAGCGAGAGAGGGAACACAAGCAGGGGGAGTGGGAGAGGGAGAAGCAGGCTTTCTGAGGAGCAGGGAGCCCGATGTGGGGCTCAATCCCAGGACCCTGGGATTATGACATGAGCCGAAGGCAGACACTTAAAAGACTGAGTCACCCAGGAGCCCCAGGTTCATCTTTCCTTTCGCTTGTTCATTTATTCAGCAGATATTGGTTGAGGACCAATATGTGTTACCTATGCTGTGATGAGAAGGAGCTAGCCAAGCCACGATCAGAGAGAGCCTCTGATAGGCACAAGAAAGAGCATGTGCAAAGGCCCTGAGGCAGGAACGAGCTTGGGAAGTACAAAGAGCAAAAAGCAGGTGGTGTGGCTTTAATGTCTTGAGTGGCTGGGAGAGTGGAGGAGAGCTCTGAGAGAACAGCAGGGCCTGGTCAGGCAGTGCCTTGGGGACTGGGCTGGGGTTTGGATTTTACCCTAAGTATGATGGGGAGCTATTGGCGGGTTTTGAGCAGGATGCTAACATGGCCTATATAGACATTTGGGAAAGCTCACTCTGAGTGTGTGTGAAGAATGGATTGTTGGGTCCCTGGTCCAGGGGGAGATGATGGAGGCCTGGACTGAGTGCTGGTCTTAGAGATGGAGAGAAATGGTGGTTTTGGAGAAAAAGCCAATAGCTCTGCTTCCTTGTTTCTTTTTCCCGGCATGCTAAGGATTTGGCTTATTTTAGACCTTTTTCTGTTGTCTGGGGAGAATGTTCTTGGGTTTTGCCAGCTTCACAACTGGGGGAAGAGTGGGAGGCCCAGGCCCAGTTCTTGTCTGGACTCTGCCTAGCCCGTTCGTGTGGAGGTGACAGCTTCGGTCAGTGACGGCTTCCTGGCGTGTTGACTACTTAGGTCATGTCTAGACATTCTTGCCCAGACCTTGTCTTGATCCCAAACCAAACATGTTCACCTGCTGTTAATTCCACCTCCCTTTGGAGAAACCTGCCTCCTGCCTTTGCTGATAGGCAGCTCCTTCGAGAGGCCCTGTCCCTGGAGGAGGCAGGAGAGCTGCGTCCCTGCGTGGAAGAGTCTCGCTGGGCTGAGATGAGTAGGACCTTCTCTGCCAGCCCTTTGCTGGCATCCTCACTGTATGTCATAGGTGGGTGAGCCCCAAGCAGGGGGACCTCCTCGTCCATCAGGAGTGTCCCCTGTGTCTTCCCCATTGTGTACCCTGAGTTATAGCACGAGAGTTATTTTTGTTGACCTCGTTTGCCCAGCCTCTTGGTGGCTTTTCCACGCACGATTCAGCAAGAAACTAATACTATCTGTTCCATTGCATACATGCCGCATTCTCGGTTTTCTGGTGAGTTGTTTCAAACACTCACTTAGTCTTCCTCACGACAATCCCGGGAGAAGGGTGGGAACTCTCCTCTGCCCTCCATTTTCTTTAGTCTCGCACCCAGTGATTACTGGGTTATAATCAAATGAGAATTCTGCAGCTCATCAGTGCTGCTGGCGGCCATTTCTTCTTGTTCTTACTGCTAAGATCAAGTGTTCCTCTGTGTTCTGGGGTAAAACATGTACCTGCTCTTGCTTGCAGCAGTCTGAGGAGAGCTGTTTTAGATGAGGAACCCAGCCAAGAGGTGCAGTGAGACTTACCGCAGACCACCTAGCGGGGCCTGCTGGAGGGCAGGGGTCCCCAAGAGCTCTTCCGGCATCTCGTGGGTAGCGGTCCTTTGGCTGCAGCTGCCTCGGTGAAAGGGGCAGGAGTGAGACGTGGGTGCCTTCTCGCCCCTCCTTCGTGGTGACCTAAAAGTGCCTTGGTCCGGCAGCACCCATTGTCCAACCTCAGCGTTCCTAACCCTGCCGGGTGCTTTAGCTCGGGAGAAAGCTGCCAGCACTGGAAGGGGTGCAACACACCACATCCGGGCCTGCTCCTGACCTGGGAGTGGGCACGTTGCCTAACGATTCTGGCCTCACCCCTCAGTGTTCTCATTTGCCGGTTGTCTCACCCTGGAGAGTCATTACGAGGATGAGAGATAATGTGTCCTGTGGGAGCAGCGTGGCGGGGTGCTTCAGAGCCCAAGTTCAAAGCCCGCCGCTGCCACTGTGTGACTTTGGGGAAGTCACTTCACTCTCTGTGCTTCCTGGCTGTTGGCAGAAGTACCCATGGCCGTGTACCCTCTGCATGGGAGTGAGGACCGCCTGTGTTCTTCAGTCTCCCAGCCCCTTCCATTTAGAGGCGAGGGATGGCAAAGACCTGGGTTGGGTCATGACGTTTGCTTTTGCTGAAGCCTCCTGGATCGGAGGAAGTGTTTCCATTTATTCCATAATAGGAAGGGACAGGGTCTGCATGGGAGCGATTGGTGATGCTACCTTGGAGGGGAACGCACACAGGAAGTTCGGAAGCAGGCTCATGCCCAAGGGGATCTCGGAGAATTATTGGCACCTAAAACAGAAATTCAGCCTTTCCTTTCAGAAAAATAACAGATGCCTAAATGTCAGTGGCAAAGGAAGGGGGAAGGCTGTTGGTTTGTTTTTTGAGTAAGATCTCAGTGAGGAAAGAGCAGTTTATTATGTTTTGTCTTGATTTGCTTTGTTCTCTAGAAGAAGAAAGAGAGGCTAGCGGGAATAGCTCTTTAGCCCTTACTTAATTAGGGTCTTCTGCAGTGTGTGCTAATTTTTTTTCATGTGCAGCTTGACTTTTAAGCAAGACTGTTCCTTGAAGGTGCCAAGGCTTCGCCAGCCTCTGTGTCCCTGCTGGGCCTCGCACACAACTGAGCACATGGAGAGCAGTCGGTACGTGACGGGTCCAGGTCCACTTCATCCTTTTTGTTTTCCAGAGCGAATACATTGCTCCGTGTGACTGCCGGCGGGCCTTCGTCTCTGGATTTGATGGCTCTGCGGGTGAGTTGCTAAATTCTCTCTCTGTTCTTTCTGTACTTTTGTTTGCTTCCCCAAAATAACTGGGCCAAGTTTCAGGCTGTGAGAGAACCAAAAAGAAAATGTAAACCAGACACTCCCCCCTTGAACTTCTGCAGAAAGGTGTGAACTCCCAGCATCCCCCAGCTCTCGAAGTTCACCTTTCAGTGGCCCTTTTCTCAGTGCTTTTGCTATTAAAGTTTTATTTATTTTTCTTACTGTTGGTTTTTTTTTTTTTTGCTAGTAACGTTTTAAAACATTTTTATTTAAAAATATTTGGAACTTTTGACTATAGCATACATACAGAAAGCTGCATCGATTAAACTGAAAATACCTGTGTAACTAGCAAGAAATGGGACACTAAGAGCACCCCAGGTCCCCTGCCTTAGCTTGCTGGTCCTATGTAATTCTCTAAGTGCTTGGCTTTGGGGCTCAGTAATTTCACTTTCAGTTTAAATAACAAAGGTTAACGTCGAGCTACATTGGTGCCCTGCCCTAACTCGTCCAAAACTGTTGTGCTCTTGAGGTTTAGGGTGATTTCCTCCGCCCCTCAGACTCCCATCTGTTGAGCTAGCTAGACTCGGCAAGAACTGCTTCCTTTCCTATACATGCTTGTGTTGGTTGGCACCTCAGGATTGCTTTTGGCTGGCACCTCTGCTGAAAGCCCGGGGTTCTGTCAGGCCTGTAGGAACTGGGCAGGTATGGGTGGGAGGTGTCAGCTCCCTGCTGGTGACCAGTGAGTCCCTGTGAGTACTTAAGAGTCCACTTGGTTTCTCTCAGAAAGGTGAAGCAGTTCCCTTGGGGTATTCGGTGGAGCAGAAGGCTGTGATCACTGTGCGGGAATCATTTTCACCACTGTCTTGTTGAGTATGAGGCTGTTTGGAGCATAGGTGGACAGTCCCCTGTTCTGCTGGCCTTGACTCGTGCTGTGCAAATGGGGTTCTGGGCCGGGACCGGGCAGCCGGGGCTGCCTGCAGCCTGCGTCCTTCAGAGCTTGACCCACAGCTGGTTCTCAGTGGCATCGTCTTCCCTTGCCTAGAGTTTTTCCTGGAGTCGAAGGCCCATCTGTCCCACTAGAGTGAGTGCTGGTGGGAGGCTGGGCCACACAGGAGCTGGTGCTTCTCACGTGCTTGCTGGCCTGTTGCCGTTGTGTGCAGCTTGCGTGTGGTCGTCAGAAACCTTTCGCTTTCTTTGGCTCCCCTGCTCCAGGCACGGCCATCATCACAGAAGAGCATGCGGCCATGTGGACTGATGGACGCTACTTTCTCCAGGCGGCCAAGCAGATGGACAGCAACTGGACGCTCATGAAGATGGGTGTGTAGAGGCCTGTGGCCAGCCCAACCTGAGTTGGCCAGCTTTGGGAAGGGACCCTCGAGGGCCTCAGGGTTTCTGGATCTTAACCTTTTGATGAGGTCAAGGACCCTTTTGAGAATTGAGGGTGGGTTAGTCTGCTCGGGCTGCCATAGCAAAATACCATAGACTAGGTGACCTAAACGACAGAAATTTTTTTCTCAGTTCTGAAGGCCGGAAGTCGGAGATCAGGGTGCCAGCCTGGTCAGGTTCTGGAGACAGCCCGCCTCCTGATTGACAGACAGCCGCCTTCTCACCTGGCAGAGAGAGAGCTCTCTCTTCTTCTACTTAAAGGGCCACCAGTTCTGTCAGATGAGAACGCCACCCTTATGCCTGCAATATACGAATTCTGGGGGGACACGATCCAGTTCATGGCCCAAGAAAGCCCTCTTTCTCTCACATATACATGCAGACACACACACAGAGGCAGACATTTGTTACAAATGGACAGGCTGGCGGACTTTAAACTTTTTGATTGCATGCCTCTGTTAATGGTTTGTGCACCCTCAACATACATGTGTACTTGTTTATAGGGTTATACACACGTCCTGGTGTCCATCTGCATTTCACATGTGAGCAAAGCTTAATTTCTTTATTTTTTAGAAAAAAAATACAAATACACATCTTAATACTTTCTGTTTGCACCCCAGTGGATCATTCAGTGTACCCCTGGGGGGTGGGTATCTCTCTTTGGGGCCCACATCTCCAGCTGTCAGCACTCTGGGGGTGAGAGTGTCAGAGAAGCGAATTCTGTCTGCCTGTTCCTTACATGGCGGCCCCGGGGGACGAGTCCTCCTTCCTTCCAAGTCCCTCTCTACTTTGCCATGTCTTCCCTAAACCCCCCTTTCCTCAGGCATCTCTCCTGTGTAGGGAAGTTCTGGTGGGTTTGGTTGGGGAGTGATTCATCCCTGGGATTTTGCCAGATATCTGTCTGCTAGGAAATAGCATGACTTCATCCTATAAAAGTCATACTAGGGGCATTAAAAGAAACTTCATTAGTAAGTGGCTTTTTAGTGGTTTGGAAAAAAATAGCAAAGAATCAAATAGCAAAATAACAGGTCAGTGCCAGTTTTTAGGCAGTTTTTTGGAATTGAGATTCATGAGCTCATTTCTTTATAAACCTTTGAACTTCCCCTCTGTGGTTATGTGGTTATCAGCAGTCAGTAGGGAAAACAGTAAAGATAAGTACTGTTTTAGAATATACGAACTTTCACTCTAAATATAGATCTGTTTCACCAAAATGATAACTTTTTAGTAAAATCTGATCAGTTAAGAAGCATACATCCAAACGTAGAAGGTATTGGCTTAGATTAAAGAAAAACTGGAATATCAAAAATAATTTCAGTTCCTCTGTTGAAGCTTATTTGGTGTCCCAGGACTAGCCTCTTGGAAACGGGAAGGGCTGTTTGTTCTTGGGAATTGGGAAGGCAGGGAGCCATCGTAGAGACGATGGTGACGGGACCTGTGCGGCCCTCTTGTAATCTTTCGAAAGATTTCTTTGCTTCTGAGACTTGTGTTCAGCCATCCAGTCAGGCCTGGTTCAGGGGCGGGTGCCTCCTGTCTGCCACCCACCCTGCCTTCCAGGGAGGGGAGAGCACCGTGGCCCATGTTTCCCTTAACCGGTGTGGGGTGTGAGCGAGGTCCCCAGCTCCCAGCCTTCACCGGTCGCCACCCAAGTGCTCATCAAGTGCCCAGTAGTGGTAAAATGACCAAAGGCTGAGAGAATGTTCTTTGCAACGACACATGTCATTGTTGCAGTGATTCTCAGGATGCCATTTTTACCAGGAGTCGAATGAAAATCTTGCCTTTTCTTTCTTTCTTTCCCTTTTTTTGGTCTTCTTACCCCTATGCTTTTTTTTTTTTTTTTTAAGATTTATTTATTTATTTTAGAGAGAGACGGGAGAGCACAAGTGGGAGGGGCAGAGGGAGAGGGAGAGAGAATCTCAAGCAGACTCCATGCTAAACCCAGGGCCCGACTCGGGGCTCGATCCCACAAACCTGAGATCATGACCTGAGCCAAAACCAAGAGTTGGATGCTTAACCAGCTGTGCCACCCAGGTGCCCCATCATACGCTTTTAAATATACCATCTTACTCTCCTTGCATGCTTCCAGGATTAAGGAAAGTTCAGATTTTTCAAGTGCTGCCAACCCACCTTACAGAAGGTGCTTCATAAGGACCCTGTTATCATGTTGTTGGTGGATTGCATCCTTCTGGGTAGAACTATGACCTTGGGTCCATTGGGAATTGTTTCTTCTATGTTCTTCCCTCTGTAGGTCTGAAGGACACACCAACTCAGGAAGACTGGCTGGTGAGTGTACTTCCTGAAGGATCCAGGGTTGGTGTGGACCCACTGATCATTCCTACAGGTGAGTGAGCTGGAGTCCTTCCAGTGTGGGTGAGGAAGTGGCTTCTAGATGGTTCTCCATACTCTTTGTTTGCTTGTGGGACTTGGATCATTCGGGGGCTCAGCATGACTTGATATCATGATAAAGGTCAAGGTGAAGAAAAGAGTTCTGGCAGAGAGGCAGGGGAAGGCTATGGGTGGTGAAGATAACCTTTTTATAGTTGCTCACCCTGCAAACCCAGCACTGGGCCACGGGAGGATCGCTTTTCAGAAGGCACTGCTGCCTGCCTCAGCTGAAATGGCGTGCGGTTCATGCATGGCTGGGCCACGTGTATTTCTCCCCAGACTACTGGAAGAAGATGGCCAAGGTTCTGAGAAATTCAGGCCACCACCTCATTCCTGTCAAGGAGAACCTCGTGGACAAAATCTGGACAGACCGCCCCGAGCGCCCATGCAAGCCCCTCCTCACACTGGGTCTGGACTACACAGGTCAGAACCCTCCTGCGCCCATCGGGGGCTCCCGGCCACCGTCCCCTCCACCTGTCACCGTTCTCCCCATCCCAGTCCTCTGCATCAGAGTTGAGCTTGAGCTGATGGCAGGATTTGGCCCCACCCTGGCACAGTGCGGCATTTGATGAAAGCAGGAGCTTTATTTGTTTCCACAGGAGCCACCCACTTGCCACTTATTTTACATAATTTATTCTTGCCACGCTCTTCTGGGCAGACCTTTGGCTGCTGCTAAGATGGCTTTTTTACCACACTGCCTCTCTAACATGTCTGATACTGGAAATGGCTGGGGCAGGGGTGGGTGCGGGTTTCTAGGTTCCATTTCCTTTCCTTCTGCCCACATTTGTAGATCTACCTTCCTAGGACCCCCCCCACCTTGCATCTAGTACCTTCTGCTTTAGAGGCTTTGGGTGTGGGTGGGTTTCTTTGGCCTGTCTGATAGTGGTTGGTGAAGAGCGAGCGCTGTGAACTGTTCGTGGGAGCTGAAAGTGTGGATTTATGGAACAGCGAGGGATGCAGAGAGAGGCCAGGGATGTGGGGCTGTAGGGGAGGGAGCCGTGCAGTAGAAACAGAAGAGGAGAGGTGGATGGGGGATGTCTGGAATGCAGGCAGATTGCCCAGAGGGGTCCTGGGAAGAAAGCATTACAGCCCAGACTCTTGGCCAAGTTTTAAACAGCATTCCGGAGCTGATCTTCAAAGCGGTGTTGGTTGTGGGGGCAGCCCCCAGCTTGCTTTCCCTGTGACGGACGCCCTCACCGGAGGGTAGTGCACACTGAGGGGGATAGGTCCAGTGAGTGGCCCAGGGTCAGCTAAACATTTTCCGTGAGAGTGTTTTGAATTTTTTTAAACTGAATCAGAGGCTTGGACCTATTACTTGTAGGAGAGGGGAGAGCAAATGTTGGGGGTAAGACATTTGTTCAGCAAACGTGAGTGCCTACTACGTGCGGGACACTGTGCCAGGTGTGGGTGAATATGGCAGATGGTTACCCTGTTCCCAGGGGTTGTAACCTGAGTTGTAAGTGCTGTTTCATGGGGGTGGTGGTGGTGGTCATGGTGGTGATAGGGTGAGCTTCTCTAGGGCCACAGTTTCATCTGGAGAGCCATAGGGAGACCCTGGCTGTGACAGGGCAAGTGTGATTTGGAAGCATGAGTCACAGTGAGTCAGATGGCAGGGAGTTCCTAGGTCTTGGCACCAAGACGTGAGTCTCTGGGCTCCAAGAATGTGAAGTGGTGGGTGGTATTCCCTTGGCCTCCAAGACTGGCTGAGTTTTCTCTGCCAGGCAGTATGTTCTCATAGCTCCCTGTGCTTCTGCAGCTGCGTCAGTCTTTACACAGAAGTATAGCTATTGCTGGATTAATTGTCTGTCTTACAGTCTAGAAGATTCTAGATAGATTGTAAGCCCCATGAGGGCAGGGGCTGGGCATCGCTCAGAGCTGGAACTACAGTGACCAGCACAGCGCCTGGCAGATATCTATGCCTGGGAAGTCTAGATACTTCATACACACTTGTTGGATGAACAGATGCATTAATTTTGTGGGTGAGGCAGTCAGGGCTCCAGAAAGTCAACAGGCTTGGACAGAGGCTTGAATCAGGCCTCCTGTTTGCTCAAGTGATATACTCTCTCTAGGATGTGGTGCTGGTTAGCAGTGTTCGAGATGGGTTCTTCCACTTGGCTCCCGTGGGTCCCTGGAGCGAGAGTTGCAATGCAAGCACATTTGTTTCTTGCAGGCATCTCCTGGAAGGACAAGGTTGCAGACCTTCGGTTGAAAATGGCTGAGAGGAACGTCGTGTGGTTTGTGGTCACTGCCCTGGATGAGATTGCATGTAAGAGCTCTGGCTTTAGTGTTTGGGCATGTTACCCAGTCTCTCCCTGGGTTCTCTGGGAATCTGTGTGTTCAGGCCAATCAGCTTTCTGAGTGGCCAGGAAATAAGCAAAAGACTGTGTCACCAAATGGGTATATGATACACCAGATAGGACGGAGAAAGAATTATAGAGAAAGCGGAGAGGAATGTGGCTTTTCCCAGAGTAGTATTACAGCTAGGGGCTGACGTTAAATCAGTGGTGATGCCCACCCCTGGCCAGTCTCTTCAGCACTGTGACACCGCTGAGGAAGGACATTTCTTCCTAACATTTTGAGTCTATCGACATTCATGTGTGTCTCTATTTGTAGAAGTGGCATCATAGAAGATTATTTTTTTCTCTACACTTTTCCTCTAGTTCCCTAAGTTCTTTACAGTGAGAATGTTCTAGAAATACTTCTACCTCAGAAAACTCAGGAACTAAAAATTCTTCACCAACCTTTTGGATACAGTAGCAGTTTGTGAATCTTTATGTAACCCTTATGTAATTGTTTAGTACCTTGTCATCCTCCAGAACCTGAAGGAATCTGGTTGAACCTTCCTGTCCTGTCTTCTGTTTTCTGACTGGATTTGACCCAGGGTTAACTGAGAATGGGCACTACCTTATCTTTTTATTTTCTCACTAGAGAAAGAGACCCTACTACACAGTGTCCTATCTTTCCAATCCCCAGCCCCAAAACTGTCAGATATTAGTGATGCTTGACAGGTATGTCATGTATCAGTGATTGATATCCTTAATTAATTAACAACCTTGACATTAGAGAAAATAGCATATATAAAGTTAATTTCTCCCTTTGATTTTAAGAAAACGCATTCCTGTTGTGGAAAACCTGGAAAATGTAGAGGAAGTAAAAAGAAGAAAAAAAAAATCACCTATAATTTTGTTACCCAGAGATAGTCACTGTTAATATTCTGTGCGTATATAAATCTTATAGCTTGATTTTTCCAATGTATCAGTATACTCTAAGCATATATAATCATAATTTAAGTTAATATAAATATCCCACCATCTGGTTATACCATAATTTATTTAACCATTACCCTAAGGATGACCATTGAGTTATTTCTGATTTTCCCATGATCTTATTATGATGCTACCAGCAAAATCTGTGTCTTGGTTTCCGATGATTTTCTTCTGTTTGTGGCTGGCTTTTCGGGGTGGTATTACGGTGTTAGAGGGTGTCTGCGTGGTAGTGCTTTGGACGCATCTTGCCATTTACCTGCCAGAAATGTTTACGGTGGATATGAATATGCCTGTCCTGCCACACCTTCCCAGTCCCGGGTACTGTCGTTTTTAAAAAGTGTTAGTCTGATAGGTAAAAGAAGTTGCATTGCTTTACTGTGAGAAGCCATTATTCTAAAATGGAAGCAATACTTTTCTCACCGGGGTCTTTTCTATACTGTGTTCTTCAGGAGAGCAAGCATCAGGCTGTGCTTTCTGCTGACCCCCGTAGTTTCTTAAACATGCAGTGACCTCCCTAAACCCCCCTTGACACTGGCTGTAGGCGGGTCCCCCACCCTGGTTCGGTACCACAGCCTGCCCTTGGGTGGGCTCGGATTTGGGTTTCATTCATGGGCCTAAGCCCTGCTGACTCACTGCTTTTGTTCCTGTGTTGGAAGCTCCGCCTCCATGGGGCTCCTTGACTCTTAGCCAGAGGGCCTTATTTGGGTTCCCTCCTCGTGGGTGGGTCTCAGTTTTTCTGCCCTAGTCGTTTGCTTCAGAAGGGAGAGGGCGCTTGGCTCTTTTCCCTTCACTTGGGAGTGCCAGAGGTTTTCCCCGCGGCAAGGCCAGGCCTGGCAGGTCACCACCGGGCGGACCGTTTCAACTCTTTGTTTGGAGGGTAATTCTCAAGTTTTTGCCTAACCTCCACTCTGTTCCCGGGACAGTGATGTGGCAGCTTGAGAAACAGTTCTGGTGCCACCATTTGGTGGACATGAGCAACTGCAGCTCCGTGGGGGAACCAGGAAGTCAGGTTTCCTGCTTTTCTGAGAGATGCTGCCGAATCCTTCCATGGAAGCCTTCCACGGATGCCAGAGTGCTTCCCTCCCGCTCTAATCTATCTGTTAAAATCTCAAGTCAGGCAGGTGACAGGGTCTTTTTTTTTTTTTTTTTTTTTTTTTTAAGGGCTGTTCAATCTCCGAGGGTCAGATGTGGAGCACAATCCGGTGTTTTTCTCCTATGCAATCATAGGATTGGAGACGATCATGTGAGTGTTTGCCCCACACCGGAAAGTCCTTCCTTCCTCGAAGCTCCTCAGATGGCCTGTCTCCCCTTCCTTGCTGGTCAACCCCATCACTGCCTGAGGTCCTGCTGGTGTTCTGCTTTTCTTCTGCCTTTCCCCTTTGCTGCTTCTCTCTTCCTTTCCCTCTGGTCTTCCTAAACACTAGGTATTTTTTACATCCTGCCTCTCTCTTAATTCCCAAACGACTTGAAATCTATGGAAGTATCTCTAGTACTAGGAGATTAAAAAAAATAAGTAGGCAGGGAGAGCTTTGAACCGGAATGAGGTTAGTTCACAAAATTTCTGCTGCAAGGTCTTGGTCAGACCACATGTTTGATTTTGTTTTGTAGCAGCCCGTGCAAAGGGATATACAGGCTCCATTATTCAGTCCTGGGGCCACAATTCAAATAAACCCAGGCATTTCGAAGGTCAGAAATGACACAGGAAAACCCCCTCAGTTGTGCTTTGTCGAACTGTCTATCTGTTAAAGAATTGCTGTGGCCTTCCTGTGGTTGCTCTTTGATTTGGATGGCTCTCTTTATTCTGATAATGTTTATTAAGTTGCTAGGGTCTCTATTGGGTGCCAGGACGAATGAGGCAGGCAGGGTCCTGGGCTAGAGTTGGGGAGATGAGTGTCTCTTCAGGGGATTCAGGCATGTAAGTGGGCACTGACTTGACAGTGGGATGGGTACGGGTATTATCGGAGGGGCCTAGCCCACACTGGCGGGGGGTGTTCCGAAGAGACTGACAAGTTACATTGAAGCAGAGATCAAGGGCACATGTGGGTTGGCTGGGTGAATGGGGGAGCAAAGGGAATGGTGATCTGAGCAGAGGGAACAGCACTGGCGGTGGCTCTGGGCAGGAGAGAGCACAGTGCCTGCAGAGGACCTGGAGTGGTTCAGTGCAGTTGGAATGTGGAGTGTGAGGCCGGAGGGTGAGCAGGGGCCACGTAAAGGAAGGCCTGTGAGCCAAGTCTGGGAGCTCGGACCTTTATTCTGAGGACACAGGGGAGCTGTTGAATGGATTTTTCACAAGGAACCACAGGATCAGGTTGGCAAGTCATAAAGAATACTGTGGCTGTGCAAATGGGATGGCTGGGGGCAGGACTGGGTGCAGGGAGACCAGCTAGGAGACCGTGGCACTAATCCGGCAGAGAGTCGGTGCAGCCTGACTGGGGAGGGCTGGAGGCAAAGCTGGACAGCTTTGATGGGGGTTTAGACTGTAGGTCCAGAGATCTTAGTAGAGGGAAGGAAGGACATCAGGGACAGTGCCCAGGTCCTGGCTGGGGGAATGAGGTGGACGGTGATAACATATACAGGGATAGGGACACAACTTGGAGAGCAGGATTTGGGAAAGGCATGGGGAGGAAGGAGAAGCTGCTTGGTTTTGATGGCTAGAAGATGGAGCCGGTTGTGTATCTGTGGGTCCGTGTTCCCCCAGCTCTCGCTCATACGCTCTCCTTTCTCTGTCACCTTACCTCTTGCCCCTCTGCAGGCTCTTCATTGATGGTGACCGCATAGATGCCCCCAGTGTGAAGGAGCACCTGCTTTTTGACTTGGGCCTGGAAGCAGAATACAGGATCCAGGTGCTTCCCTACAGATCCATCCTGAGCGAGCTCAAGGCTCTTTGTGCCAATCTGTCTCCAAGGGAGAAGGTGTGGGTCAGCGACAAAGCCAGCTATGCTGTGAGCGAGGCCATCCCCAAGGTTGGTAGCCCTGCTGAGGCCCATGCCCATTCAAAGCCTTTCACATTCCAAGTGCCAGCCCCTTCCCAGTTCCAGCATCCTGCAGCTTTGTCTTTGAAACAGAGGCTGTTCTGGAAGATCTCTGGGACTAGCTGTCAGATCAGAGATGCCCCCTCCCTAGAAGACCCCTTTGGGCTGGAGCCATATTCAGAGTCTAAGGGCCCTTAGAACTTATGGAGTCCCTCTGTGTTTTCCAGAGTGTGGCATGAGAGATGACTTTAGGTGGTATACATTCAAACTTAGGTTTATTTAAATGTTTTCTTTTTTAAAAGCAATTTAGTCTATACTAGAAAACACATTTCTAGCATTTGAGACCATGAGGTTATAAAAATTATTTCTTGAGACAGGGTTTAACAGACTAAGTTGATCTAAAGATGGTCTGAAGAAAAGTATGAAGTAAATAGAGGTCGAGAGGGTAGGCAGGGTATGAGCTGCACAGGTGGTAGGAGAGTGCCTGAAGTTTGGGAAACACTTCGCGTGCCCCCTCCCCACCACATTTTACAGCTGAGGAGACTGGAGGCCCAGAGGGGCTTGGGAAGTTGGGGACTTGTCGGGGGTCAACTTGGGAAGTTGGGGACTTGACAGTGATAGCCTTGCCCTTTCCTGAGCCCCTCCTGGGTGGTGCTAAGCAGTGGACACCTGTCTCCTCATTTTAACTAGGGCTCAGGGCAGGACTGGAATCCAAGCCACCTTGGATGTAGCCTTTTCGACTGTCCTGCCCTGGGCCTCTGGCTGCCAAGGGGGTATCCAAGCCCAGGGGTATCCTCTCTTCTCCGTCCTGGGAAGAGCCTAGGCCTGGCCCACTGGCCCTTCCACTCTCATGCTGCGTGACCCTCAGTTACTCAGAGATTTGCTTCCTTGACCTGAGTTAGGGGATCATGCCTGCCTTTTCAGTTTCGTGAGGGATATGCATGTGAGAGCGAGGGAATAGGAGAGTGGAGAGAATGAGCACCTTTCAACAAGCTCTGTGCAAGTGCAGGGTCATCCTGAATCCCCCTCTCGTAATGCAGGGTGGGGTTCTAACTTGTTCTTAAATTGGGAAGGGTCTTCCTTAGCCCTTTATGATCAGACCATGAAGAGTACGTGATGTGTGATTCCTGAGCAAGATGGAGGAAGAAGTGGGAGCCCTTCCCTCATCAGTCATGTGTGTCCCCAGACTATGGGGAAAAGCCTCCTTTGTGCGGCAAGGAAGGGGTTATTTCGGTCAAGCTTTGATCGTTAGTGAACTCTGACCATGACCATGGAGGCTTGAAAAGCAGTATCTTCCTGACGGCTGGTGGCCAGCAGGGTCAAAGAGCTGAGGACGTGGGGGAGAGAAGAGAAATACCTTGTCTGATGTACTTTATCTTTTTGGAAGAGCCCAAGCCCCTTTCGTCATGCTCAGAGTCATCAACCAAAGGGCACAGCTGGGGGTTCCTGAGAGGGAGCTCTTCAGATGATTTGTCTTAAGTGTGATGTGCCCGGTGAAGAGGTGATTGCCTTGGTCTTGGGTGTGTGGAGCCAGGCTCGATTTCCCATACTACCCCTTTTGCCCCTAGGATCATCGATGCTGTATGCCTTACACCCCCATCTGCATCGCCAAAGCTGTGAAGAATTCTGCCGAATCAGAAGGCATGAGGCGAGCTCACGTGAGTAAAGCAGCCTGTGCAGAGGAGGGGTGTATGGTGGTCGGAAGGCCCAGTCCCTCACGTGCTGGGTGGCTTTGAGCCTGGCACAAGATGGAAAATTCTTTGAGCCTTTCAGCGTTAATGAGAGCATGAAATAGAATACTCAATAGGCTAGGTCTTTACAAAGTATAGCATACCCCCCCAAAAAAGGTGATGATGATGATGCCCAGAGTATGTTTCAAGGCCAGCAGTGGGTCTGGAAAGATGCAAGGCCCACAGATGGCTTTTGCCAGTGGCTTGCCTTTCCTGCTTCTGGAGGGCGGGAGTGAACCTGCTGAGGGATTTGCCCCTGCTCTCCGGTAGGCCCTTTCCTGGTTATGCCTGAGCTACTGAATAGCCGAGGAGCCCTGTCCCTGCTGGTGGGAATTGCTGCAGACGTGTTACAGGGCGTGCCTGCATGGGAAGCCCTTATTGCTGGTGGTTGTGCCCCGCGGCTCCAGCCTTCCCAGTCCCATGTTGGGGCTGGGCTCTGAATTTGCCCAGCTGATTTTCAGTAATAACTTTTTAAAAAATGTCTCCGTTGTTTGCACAGATTAAAGATGCTGTTGCCCTCTGTGAACTCTTTAACTGGCTGGAGAAAGAGGTTGGTTCTTAGTCTTTGTTTAACACTTGGATTTCTGTTATCAGAGACTGTCAACATGTGATTCTAACCGTGGCCCCCTCCGTGCTCTGGAGACCATGAGGTCCAAGGTCTTGATCTAATTTTAGGACTCTTCTCTTGGTAGTTCTTTCTGGAAATTTGGTGTGTATTTAGAAATTTTTTTAATTGTAGAAAATAGTAACACAGATGAAGGAAGAATTTCCTTAACTGAGAGGATCCTTTTTGGGTCAAGGCATTGTCTTATTAACTAAGTGGAATTTCATTATAAGGAAAAGTGGTTCACAATAATATTATCGGCAAGCTGACTGTATTAAGAGAAAAAGATCTTTGTGTACATTTTGGACTTCAGTTTAAGATGTAAAACTTTTGATAGTAAATTGATTCTTGGCCATTAGTTTCTTGCCTTTTCATTCCTTACAGTTGACAGCAGGGGATTTCTTTGTGCTGTTATTAAACAATCTCATGTTCCCTTTAAATATTATATAAACAACTCTTTAAAAGTAGCTTAAAGTGGAAAAAGAATATCACGCTTACTCCCACCTATGTAATTAGTTTATTCCCTCTGGCTGTTGTTCTTCTGTGTAAATCATTTTTACATGTCTCTCAGTGTATAGGTATGGTTTTGTATTTTATTTTATTCACTTAGTACCATAGTGTGAGCCTTCTCCATGTGCTTTGAGGCCTTTAAAAAAGAATCCAAATTGTGAAAGCGTTGTGTGGTGACAGATGGTAGCTACACTTCTGGTGAGCACAGCGTAACACAGAGATGCTGAATCACTGTTTCGTACACCTGTAACTAACATAGCATCGTGTGTCAGCTCTACTTGCATTAAAAAAAAAAAATTAAAAAAAGGGATCCAAGTAGAGAGATTGAGTTTGGTGCTTAGACCAATTTGCCATTCCTCCTATTTTCAAGTGTTTAGATCATTTTTAATTTTTTTTTTTGCTGTTATCAGTCAACCTGTAATAATATCTTTGCATTGGTCTTTTTTATTTATTCAGGATGACTTTCTTAGGATGATATCCTAGCAGGAGATGCTTTTGAGTTTTTAAACTTAGCTGGATTAAGTTTGGGGGAGGCTTTAGGATATAACACTGAGACAAATAGCTGAGTGGAAAATTGAAAGGATAGAAATCCTTCTACTTTAGATAGCTTTGATGAGAGTCTTTGGAAATTCCCTCCTGGTTAAAGATGAGACATTGGCTGTGTCCTGGAGGTGGGACAGTTGGGACATGGGAAGTGAGGAAAAAATAAGCTTTTACTGCATCCCCTTTAACTTGTATGAAGCACATGAATTTATCACCCCACATGATTTATAAGCAACTCCCTTGTAGGTGCCCAAAGGTGGCGTGTCAGAGATCTCAGCTGCTGACAAAGCCGAGGAATTTCGCAGGTGAGGATCCATGTGTGTGGGGGGGGCCTGAACCTTGTGGGCATTTCTTTGGTGACTTAAATGAGGCTGAGAGGGCCCCTGTTCTTGGCACAATTAAATCCTTCACGCTGCTCTGCTCCCTGTGTCTTTCTGTTCTAGGCAGCAGGCTGACTTTGTGGACCTGAGCTTCCCAACGATCTCTAGTACGGGACCCAATGGCGCCATCATTCACTACGCGTAAGGCATGCGGAGGAGCTTGCTGCCTGGCTTTGCTGCTGCTTCTGCAGGAGCCTGGGGCGGGGGGTGGTGGGGGGGAGACGACACTAGTTTACCAGGGGCCCCAGTGCCCACCTCCCTGTGTCTGTTGAGACTGTTCTTAGATGGGAAACGAGGACTTGCTTTCTCTCGTTTCCTCTACATCTCCAAGTCTCTGCCTTTTGGGAGCCTCCTCTTAGGCTCAGGTGTATGGTGTTGACCTTCTCCATGAGGTAGTCAAACGGATTGTCCCCCCCCTTTCCTTTCCGAGGCAACAGGAGGTGTATTCATAGCTCTTGATCATGGTGATCAGAATATTTTAGTGTTTGTCTTTCCTGATAATGGCAGCCTTCTTTTTTTTTTTTTTTTTTTTAAAGATTTTATTTATTTGACAGAGAGAGACACAGCGAGAGAGGGAACACAAGCAGGGGGAGTGGGAGAAGAAGAAGCAGGCCTCCCGCAGAGTAGGGAGCCCGATGCGGGGCTCGATCCCAGGACTCTGGGATCATGACCTGAGCCGAAGGCAGACGCTTAACGACTGAGCCACCCAGGCGCGCCTAGACTTTTTTTTTTTTTTTTTTAAGATTTTTATTTATTTATTTGTCAGAGAGAGACAGACAGAAAGAGCACAAGCAGGGGGAGCGGCAGGCAGAGGGAGAAGCAGGCTTCCCGCTGAGCAGGGAGCCCGATGCGGGGCTCGATCCCAGGACTCTGGGATCATGACCTGAGCCGAAGGCAGACGCTTAACGACTGAGCCACCCAGGCGCCCTAATGGCAGCCTTCTTGATGCATGAGTCCAAACATCTTGTGAGCTCCATCACCCCCATACTGAAAAACTTAGCACTAGGTTGTTGAGCATCCTGTTGTGGTGAGGGAGGTAATCACCCTTTCTTCCCTCCCTGTGGGCTTAAAGCTGGGTGCCCAGCCTGTGGGGGATTTTAGCAGATGACTCCCAAGAGCCTGTGGACTCACAGAGCGGAGCATTCCCTGTGCTGGGAGACGGGATGGGCCCTGATAAGTTTAGTATTGATCTGCCTGTGGAGACGGTTGGAAGTGGAACGTGGCTTGCTCATTGGACGCCAGCTTCAGAGTTGCCCAGGCGAATGGTTTTGCCTAGTGTCAGGCATTTTGAGTTCTTTGCTCTGTGTGTATGATGTACACAATCGGTGGAGGGACACTTGGTCTTTCTCACTGTGCTGTACACAGGCAGAGGTCCCCCCTCCCCGCACACTCTTAATAATTGCTTTTAGAGCTTTTAGTCTTGGGGCACATTTTGAACCTGTGTGTGGGAGACAGTCACGGATGTGTTGTGCAGTTCTCTCCTATGCTTCTGTTCTAAAATTAAAATACAAAAAGGACTTTCAGTTTTTGTCTTATGTTTAATTCAGGTGGTGAATTTCTTGGCTGGATACTATCCTAGAATTTTACATGTAATTAACACATTAAAAAATTTCAGATCAAGGTGGGAGAAGTCTGCTTCTGCTTTGGCATTTTTTCGCCGTGGGCTGTTGGAAGCCTGTTGAGAAGCAGGGCCTGGAGCTGGTTCCAGTCGTTTGGCTGGAGTGACCACTGATGCCCTTCGTGCTGAAGAGAGGGGGTGGTGCCTGGAAATGAACGAGTCCCTTTCTCAGCTGCAGGGTAGAGACTTGGAATGCCCTTACTCCTTCTAGCATTTTCCAGTGCAGTGGTACTGTCTCTTGGTCTGGGAAGCACATGGGGCCTGGGACCCCACATCCAGAGACAGGTGACTCCTGGCTGCTGTATTCCCAGTTCTCAAGACTCTAGCTTGGTCCTCTCGCATCTGATGATTATTGTTTTTGTAGCTTTTACAACTATTTCATTAACCTGTTTTGTTCCAGACACAAATGGAGATAGGTATGAGGAAATATGTTATTCTTCCTTCTCTTGAGCTCTTTATCCAGTTGGGGAGATAGGTTGACTGGGTCTTTGAGTAGTTCTAGAAGATTAAATTATTTGGAATAATCAATTTAGTGGGTAACTTTAAATTTTGATACATTTTCAGACCTATGTAAGTTGTAAGAATAGTATAAGGAACTCTCATATGTCTCCTCCCGGATTCAGCAAGTACATTTGTGGAATAATTAATTTTTAATTAACTTTCTTAGGCCGGTCCCTGAGACGAATAGGACATTGTCGCTAGATGAAGTGTACCTGATTGACTCGGGAGCCCAATACAAGTAAGTGAACTAGGGCTGCCATAGAACGGGATCGTGTCGGGTCAAAAGAGTTGAATAGGGGGTAAGCCAGGCTCCAGCAGAGGGTGCCCAGATGGGAATCTCACTGTGTGCCCGCCCCTAATGGAATCCTTCTCATGTCTTGTCCTTTTTTTCACCCCTGCTTGAAGTTGTCCAGTGGTGACTCTTCCCACAAAAGACCGTTTGATAGAAATGTTTAGTTCTTGGCCGGAAGTTGTTAAATACTAAATAAATAACTGAAAGCAAGCTTTCAAAACCGTTAGAAAGCCTTCTGCCCTAGGTCATAAACAGCCTGCTAGTTCTCTGGACTCGTAGCGCCCTCATCGCCTTGGGAAGTGAGGGATTAATTTTAAATGAGTAAATGAGAAACTAGGGTTGCCCCTGAATTTCTGAATTTCCATCTTCATGTCTCGCTCCTGTCCTATTCATCCTCTAGGATGTTTCTAAGAGGAGAACCCAAGATTTGGCTGGGTCCCAATGTGGAACCCACGAGAAGGCACTGGAATAGGTGTCTGCATGAAGATAGCATGAGCAGTTTTAATGCTCCGTTCCCATTGCAGTTGGGACTGTGGCTGATGGAGAGCCTGATTATTTTTTTATTTTTAAAGATTTTATTTTATTTTAGGGAGAGAGAGAGCGAGAGCAGGGGGAAGGGCAGAGGGGGAGAAAGAGGGAAAGAATCTCAAGCGGACTCCGTACTGAGCGCAGAGCCTGACGCAGGGCTCCATCCCACCACCCTGAGATCATGACCCGGGCCAAAACCAAGTTAGTTGTTTAACCGACTGAGCCACCCCCCGGGTGCCCCTGGAGAGCCTGATTATTAAGCGGGCTCCACCACATAGATGGAAATCACAGCCTAGCCTCGGGACACATGGGTCGGTATTCATAATAACAGTTTAGAGCTCAGGGTGTTGAGATCGTTTAGGTCACGTCTAAATTTTAGCAAGATTCCAGAAGTTATCCTTTCTATGTCAGGGGTGTGGATTAGTGCATTCTAAGAGATGTCTTTGGGTAATTGTAGGGTCCAGTCCTTTGCTGTCCTGATGGGAAGAATTAGAGGTTGGCCCTCTTTTGATAGAATCAGGCTCCTACTTGCTCCTATTTCCTTTGTCCTCCTCCTTCTCGTTTATAACCCCATGATAGTGTCACCTATGAAACAGTCCTCACACTGTAGACCAAGAGTGTGTGTGTGTCAGGGCCCGACTGAGTTCACTCTCACTACCTCAGGCCATCCTTACTTTCATACTTTGTCTCATTTTATTTATTTATTTAGAAAAAGATTTATTTATTTTAGAGAGAGCACGAGCAGGAGGGTCAGAGGGAGAGGGAGAGAGAATCTCAGGCAGATTCCTTGCTGAGTGCCGAGCCCAACATGGGGTTTGATCTCACAACCCCGAGATCATGACCTGATTCAAAACCAATGTTCAGATGCCTAACTGCACCACCTAGGCAGCCTGAGCCAAAGCTTATTTTGAGTGAAAACTAATTTGTCCTTTCTTTTGGAAAGGGATGGAACGACAGATGTGACACGGACCATGCATTTTGGGACCCCTACAGCCTACGAGAAGGTAAGGTGGGGCAGGAAACTGGAGAGCCCTCTCTGCTTTCTTAACAACAGCATTGCTCTTAGGAAAAGGAATTGTACAATGAAAGAAAATTTATATGTGGGATAGTAAAATAGCTCATTACTGTGGAGTCAGGCTTCTCTGCTTTATGATGTCCATTTAATTAATTACTGGAGAAATTTTAAAAGCATTCTGTCTGCTAAGGTCAGAGTAACTCAGATTCAAGTTTAAACAGCGTCAGTATTCTCTTGAATCAGGAAATCTCTTTGGGGATGGGAGTAGGGTAGTGAAATGTATACTTTTTACAAACAGCGTCTAGATTTGATTCTGAAAGCCACCCCCCCCCTTCTTCTTTCAAGTTCAGCATTTCCATTTATAGGCTTAGCTCAGGAAGCCTCTAAAATGGTATACACTGCTCAGTTTCTGGTCTGCCTGGCATGGAGAGGAGGAGATGACGGTGAGGTAGGAGTCTGGACACTGGATTTCAGGTCTTCTCTGCTGTTTGCTGGCTCTGTGGCCTGGAGTAAAGCACTTAGACACGTCCATAAAAATGGGGATATGAGTACCTGCCTCCAAGGCTGGTTATAACGGTTCCAGGACCCTCACAAGTTCCCGGATCAGTCACTACCCAGCAGATGTTGGTTGAGTCCCTGAGTGAATCTGTTTTTCTAGGAGATCCTACAGGAAGAGAGCAGATTTCATAGTTTTAGTCCTGTACCTGACCTGTTTGTAGGCATGAGCACCTTAAAGAATCTGACCTCGGCTCCACGTACCTTTGGTGTGACTCCTTTCTGTGCTGGGTAAAGAGCTCCAGGCCAGATGGAAGAGTGTGGGTTCAGTGCTGGCTCTGCACCTTACTGGCCACTAACCCTCCAAACGTCACTTTTCTTACCCGGGCAGTAGGGATCACCCCCGAGCCTAACACGGGTAGGGGACAGATGTTGATGCTGGACTCCTGGCTTCAAGGCCAGATGCCACCACTTACGAACTACGCCACCTGGCAGGCTGGTTAATCTCTCTGCCAAGTGAGGATGACAACAGCATCTCCAGCACCAAGTGTGGGATGAAGTGCTCAGTGCTTAGTACCATGCCCGGCACAGAGGAATAGCTCGGTAAATGTTAGCTCGCCTCATCGGTAGTTTTATGACTTCTGCTCGTCTTTCTCAGGCTCAGCCAGAGTGTGTCAGAATGTTCATTACAAGGGGAGGGCCTGTGGGGTCATCTCTCTGACAGTTCCTTTTAACTAAGTTTAATTTCAAGATATTCTAGAAAATTGGTCCCATGGCCAAGCTTTTTGTTTTTTCTTTTTACTCTGATTTTCTCTGTGGTATTCCTAAAAACCTTTAGAGGCAGGATTTTCTGAGCTGCCGGAAAACTCCAGGACTGAAGCATCTGTCCTCGTTCTGCAACATGCCCCTGGGTTTTCTTTGGCAGGAATGCTTCACATATGTCCTCAAGGGCCACATAGCTGTGAGTGCAGCTGTTTTCCCGACTGGAACCAAAGGTAGGTGGGTCCTTCTGTCATCTGGCAGGCTTTTCCTTGTTCAGGCACCAAACATGTCTAAGTCTGAGCGGAAGAACATGTCCTTTGTTCCTGTCAGCCCCGGCCCCTTCAGGCCCAGCCAGGGCAAGTGCTGTGTGGAGTGAGTCTCCTAGACCCACTGACTGAGCTCGGCGGGCTTCCCAGGGAGCCAGGCTTCGGTTTGGGCTTAACGTCAGCGGTGGACCTCTCTCCTGACCACCTGGGGTGTCAGATGACCCAGGCAGGTGGCTCCCAGGAGAGCGCAGCCAGCGCACGAAGGCCTCCGGGCCCAAGTGGAAGTTGGTTGGTGCAGCCTCCTGTCTGTCCTGCCTTGCGGGGCCAGTGCCTCCTTTTGGGACTCCTTTTTACTGGGAACCTGACTTCAGATACATGCCAGTCTGCTCGAGGACTGATGGATGGGGCATTGGACGGGGAGTTGACAAGACCTGGGCCTTGAATCTGCTTAGGTTAGGTCTGCACTCATCCCCCTGGGCATCTGTTTCCTTAGAGTTTCATCTTTGTAATTCTGAAGCTTCAGGGTCCCAGAGCTGGGAAGGGAAAGTCTGCCTCAGCCACACCCTTAGGGCTGCAGGCGGCCAGCCCCTTTATCGGCTTCCTGGACACAGTCCTCCCGCTTTAGACTGAGCTCTGGCTGGTGGGGGCGCGGCTGTCTCGGGAGCTCGCATTGTTAGTTCTTTCTTGTGCTGGCTTGAAATCAGAACCCTCCAGTCACTTTTACATGCTGGTTTCTGTTCTGGAGCCAAACATAATAAATCTAATCTCTAAAGTGCTTTGCAAATTGAAAAGTACTGGACAAATATCATCAAGTGGTTCATTATGTGTCTTTCAGGACACCTTCTTGACTCGTTTGCCCGCTCAGCTTTATGGGATTCTGGCCTGGATTACCTGCACGGAACGGGACACGGTGTTGGGTCTTTTCTGAATGTTCACGAGGGCCCTTGTGGCATCAGTTATAAAACGTTCTCCGATGAGCCCTTGGAGGCAGGCATGATTGTCACTGATGGTAAGTGTCCCTCACATCCAGGGTGTGCATGGGTCTTCGAGCCTGTTTGAAGGCTCTCTGTTGTTGCTTATCTTTTGATTATCTTAAAGTAAATTGGATATAATTTCCCCCTCTTGTCACCTTGAATTAAACAAGAACAACAACTTTTTATGATTATAAAAGTGATACGTGTTCATTTTAGAAAAGGTGAGGCCGTGGGACAGCATGTGGAAGAAAGTGAAAATCACTTATAATCCAGCCGCCCAGGGGAAACATTGCTTCATGTTTTGATGTATTAGCTTTTGGTCTTTTATATGCGCATACATCTTTTGTTCTCCTCATTCAGATTATACTGGATGTCTTGTTTGTATTCAGCTTGCTTCCTTAATGTACTTTTCCCATGTCATTACCAGATCTCTGTGCATAGAGTTTGTTGCCTGCTTCGTTATGTCGAATGGGCACCGTGACTTATTTGGTGGATCCTCTGCTATTGTACTCCCCATCCTGGCACGAGTTTTCAGGGACTTTAGAACCTTTCTTTCTGTTCCTCGAGTACCTGTTGGAAGTGGCCGTGTGGGAGGAGGCGGCATCTCTGGGCTCTTGTCCCCAGACTGAGTGGGCTGTTTGCCTGTATCCCCTCCTCCTTCAGGGTGGGGCTGTCATCCTGGGAGCAAGCACTTCTACTCCGCGTATACGTGCTCATCATGGGCTGCTTCTCATTTCTGGGTTTGATTTTTTTTTTTTTTAGAGCCAGGGTATTATGAAGATGGGGCTTTTGGAATTCGCATTGAAAATGTGGTCCTGGTGGTTCCTGTGAAGACCAAGGTAGGTAATTGGCTGTTTATTTTTAAATTTTCCTTATTTTTTAATGAGGGAAGATGAAGATATTTGTCTTTGGAGCCAAGAGTGTGCCATTCTGGGGCCAAAATGGAGCTTCCTCCCCAATACAAGGGAGTCTCCTAGAAATCAGTCTCCTCTGCAGAAGCCAGAAAGAAAATCCGTAATGAACTGGGACCCAGAACTGGGATTCCTGGGGCACAAGGCAGGCCCCTGCCTGATGGGATCTGGGGCTCTGAGTTTATTAGAGGCATCTTCTTGTCATGATGCTGGGGGTGGGGGAGGTGCTTGTTTAAAGGCCCCTCCCAGACCCGGGGCCACGGCCTGGAAACTGTATTTTCAACCAATGCCTCAAATGATTTTTATTGGGTAAAGCTGAGGAACCCTTAGTTATACGGTAGGTCAGGCCCCACAGGCTGGTGATGAGACGGGTCTGTTGCCTTCCAGAAGACAGGCACTTCACCTTCTCCCCATCACTATTACCAAGAGGTTGGAGGGCTTAGGTTTAGGCTTTACCTAGAAGACCCGTTTATTGCTCTTTTGTGGGTGATGGTGGAAATCGAACAGTTGGAGGGAAGTGGCTTCCTCAGCGTGCTGGCCTCTGCTCTCTGCTTCCACATCGAAGTCACCTTGAGAGTGGCCTCTCACCTCGCTCCCAGAGGCCTTGCCAGGAACAGAGACCCAGCATGCTCTCAGGTGCCCTGGCCAGTCCGTACTCCGTAGCATGGATAAACCTGCTATCTGTCACCGGATGGGACTGGCTGGTCGAGGCAGGACATGTGGCTAACTGTTAAATAAAAGTGATGCTGGGGACTTGCACTCTGGTAGAGTCTTGAGAACCAAAACCAGTGATGCCCCTCATCCAGACACCACCATGCTCTGCCCCCACTGCTTCTCCGTCACAGTGGACGTTAGCCCGGGGACCTGCTGCTCAGAGCCCCTCGGCTTTCCCCGATGGTGGCTGTTGGCGCAGTGGGGCAGCTCTAGGACAGTGGCGTCCAGTGGGTTCGTCGTGCCTCCTGGGCCCCCTGCAGATGCTGACCAGCAGACCCCTTCTTGGTTCCTGTTCACACCTGCCCTGGGGGGTGGTCATGGCTGGTGGGAATGACCTCATGGTGGTTCATTGGGGTAGATAGGAGTAAAAGCCTCTGTTTTCTTCCTTTTCCAACAGTATAACTTCAATAACCGGGGAAGCCTCACCTTTGAACCTTTAACTTTGGTTCCGATACAGACCAAAATGATAGATGTGGATTCTCTTACAGACAAAGAGGTAATGAGGGTGGCTTGGAGGAGACAGAGTGGGAGTGGGGGTGGAGAGCTACCTTACATTCTCTCATCTCTTCTCACTTTGTAATTTAGAGATCTGTGCCACCTGAGTCTGAAAATCCAAGGTCTGTTGAGGACTGTAGATGCTTTTCCTGTATTTGTTGGCTCTCTAGGTAGAGATAGTCCTCCCTGCACCATTGTGGGGCCGTAAGGTTTCTTGAGTGGGACTAGCTCGCCACTGCTTTCCTTGAGGGCACGGGCCATGGCCGCACTGAGCGTTTAGCAAACCATGGGCCATGGGCCTAGGAGGAGCCAGATGGGTGGTAGGGCCTGTTGGCCACTGCATGTACCAGATTGTTTTCTCGTGTTGAATGAAATATTAAGGGAATGAAAAGCGAAATCTATTATCATACACCCAGTTTTCACACAGACAAGGAGAGAGGCGGTGCCTCCTCTTCTGGTCACTCCGGGCTGTGAAGCTCTTCATAAAGCTAGGAGCACAGTGGGGCTCACTGTCAAGATCCGAGGGATACAGGCCTTGAAACCCCTTCCATCCTGTGCTGGGTCCCCAGGCCCACAAGGCCAGGTGAGGTGACGGGCCCCGGGACCTGGGTGAGTAAGGCTTGAGGGATCAGGCAGGTGATCAGCATCGGAGCAGAGACGGGTCAGAAACGGGGCGGGAAGAGTCAGCACTGGACAGACCAAACGGTTCCTGAGCCAGGGAGCCAGAAGCCAGAAGGACACAAGTTTCAGAGCAAGGCAGGTGGTCGGAAGTCCCTGCAAACGGCAAATGAGTGGTGGGAGCCAAAGGCAGGACGAGCCTGGCAGGTCCCGTAGGAGTAAGTTCCTGTTGCCAGAGCAGCTACTGACCTCACCCCGGCCACGGTGAAGCGCCTCTTGAGACGTCCTCCGCCATGCACACCTGGCCCCATGCCCGGCACTAGGAAAAGTGCCTCTGGCGGGGAGGCCCCTTCTGCTGGACCGTGGAATGGGACTCTCCCAGCCAGAAGCCCCTTCTCCTGACCCGCTCACAGAGGGGTGACAGCAGAAGGTCCTCTGCTTCTGCTTAGTGTGGGCACCTCTGCTTACCCGTCAGTGTCCTTGACCGGCCAGACATCCCCGCTCACGGCCCCTAAACGAGGCGACCGTTGTGGGTTTATTCAGCTTGTCGAGGGTGCCGGGCAGGAAACCGCTTGTCAGTGGCACAGTGTCCGGTGTGGGCCTGGCAGGAAGAGTCCCTCCAGCGGTCCCTGGCTTAGGGGAGAGGGGACAAGAACACGTGAGCGGACGTGGAAGCCAGCGGCTTGAGTCCTTTGTGCTCAGTAGGAGCCAGGGTCTCTTCTCATGGCCTCGGGTACAGCTTCCAGGGTCTTAGCAAGGGGCTCTCCCGTTCGAAGTCACTTTGCTCTCGGAAGCCCAAGGCCGTGGCTTCCTACCATGCAGCTCTAGGTCAGGCAGTCCCTGCTGTCCACATAGAGTGTGCTCATCAGGAGGCTTCCTCCCAGTGACACTCCACCTTGTCCACAGAAATAGTGTGTGGGGAAGGTTGAGTGAGGCCATTCTTCCTTGAGGGAGGAATGTTGTTAACCTGGCTCGGTCCACCCCATGACATTGAACATAGACCAGTGGGCTCTGTTGTACTCAGTGGTTCATTACTATACCTTGTGTGGCCGAAGCACTGAACTCTTCTTTCTGCCGATTAGTTTCTGTAGGGCAGATAATAGCTTCTTACCCTTAGATCATAAGCAAGTTCCTACAAATAAACAGTAGATGTATTTAACATACCAAGCAGAGTACATTTATTGTCTCTTTTAGCAAAAAAAAAAAAATCTCCTTCCATATATCACTTAAATCTGGGGCCTCATTCTGTCAGAAGGCACAGTAATACCCCACAACCAGATTCTGTCTATTTGGCTTTTAAAGTACTCAGTCATGCCCCTTACCACCTCCCAAACTGACGGTGTTTTTGGTTACTTTAAGGACTTTTTGGGTTGGGTTTGCATTCCCGTCATTTATCGCCAGATGGCAGCTGAGGACTTTGGTCATGAACGTGGGCAGCTGCAGACTTTCGGGGCCTTTGGAATGTTGGTCAGGCCCCCCTGAGGCTGCGCGTACAACTGAAAGGGTCTCGGGGTCTCACCTTGGCTCCGGGCTTGGCTGCTTTGGACTGCAGGCTGTCTCGTAGCCCTGCCTGACCCGCAGCAGTTTGCTTGCTTTTGACTCCCTGTCCCGCTCCCAACTCCCAGCAGGGGCCAGTAGGCTCTTCCCCGTGGGGAGTGGAGCCCTGGCTGGGTCGAAGCCCTTTGGCAATACCGCCGTGTCCGTCTGCCTGTCACAACCCCGGAGCTCGTCCTTGGTACCGGGTCCGGACTTGGTACCGGGTCCCCGGTGCCCATGCTTCTGTAAGAGCGCTGCCTTCCCAGATGGCGTGTGGCTCGTGGCAGCAGGGGCGCGGATGGCGGGGTCTGTCTTGCCAACTTCGCTGCAGCTCAGTGTCGGGTTGGGCCCGCTTCATGGCCAGAGAAGAGAGTGGGTGGTTGTCCTCTGGTAGAACTTGCTTCACTCCAGCCTTCACACCTGCCCCACCCCAGGGAGGGGAGAGTTCACCCTTTTACGGCCGCGGAACTTTCACCGTTAGGCCCTTGTGGATCTGCCCCGACCCAGGCACCAAGTCCTGTCAGACCTCCTTCCTTCTTACCTCTTTTTAAAAGATCTCCTGGGGCGGTGGGCACGTTCTGTTGAGTGTCTGAAAGTTAAGCTCCCGGCCTCACCCTTCAGCACCACAGTCCTTGGTCACCAGAGGTTTGGGGTTCATCTAGATAGCCACACTCACAGGACCGTGGGGGCTTGGCTGATCCCAGTTTATTCAGCTCTATCAGTGGAAACGGGTAGGAAGCTCAGTGCATTGGTGTGACACCTTCAGGTGTGTCTCTTAGCAGGAGTTTCACCAGCCCTCTAGGGCTAGTTTTCAGCCCCCCTCCCCTCCACTGCCACCCCGAGATGGCTGAGATGTGAGGGAAGGAGGCCACATGGGTGGGTGTAGGACCTACCAGACCCCCTGCCCCGTCCCTCTGAAAGTGTCCTGTGAGTATGGCTTGGGGGTCCTGTTGGGAAGGATACCTGGTTACAGGTTACTCTGCACCCAGGGAAGCCCGAAGCCATGACTTGCTCTCAGGTATTTATAGTTCCTTCACAGTCATTGCCAGTCCACCTGCAGTAGACTGTTCTGGACGCATTTTACCGTAAGCAGCATGGCCTTGTCCCCTTGATTTCCAGGGAAATGGAGCCTAAGGAAGTTACTCGTCCCTGAGCAGGGGGAAAAGGTTTTGTGTATCTCTGCCCTCAACTCATGATCTCCGCACCCGGGGGCCTCTCCCTGTTTGCCCCTGTAGCCTCTGGGAGAGGTGTGAATACTGCCTGTCTTTCTCCCGTCTTGCAGTGTGACTGGCTCAACAATTACCACCTGACCTGCAGGGACGTGATCGGGAAGGAATTGCAGAAGCAGGGCCGCCAGGAAGCTCTCGAGTGGCTCATCAGGGAGACGCAGCCCATCTCCAAGCAGCATTAATCCTCCCTGGTTTTTGTTTTTGTAAAATGCTCTGGGGAAGGGAAGAAGCCTGCCAGATCCCTGACAGCTGTCCCCTTTCCTCTCCTCCCTTCTTTCTTCCCCTTTTTACTTTGAGATTCTAAGAAGAACTGAGAAATCTTCTTATCCTCTTTGATATTTTCTTGCAAACACTCAGTCTTTTATGATTTTTTTAATTGTTGAGAACGAGCCAAGAATAAAATTGCTGCACCAGAAGGAGGGTCCCGCAAAGCTGATCACTCGCTCAGGGAGACGCCCCGAGCAGCCGCAGTGAGTTCTCTGGCCAGTGATGGTGAAACACTGAGTGCTTACTCTCTGATGGTCAGGTTCCAGGTGCTAGTACATTATTCATGATCACCTTGATTCATGAGACTGTATTTATGATCAGTGAATAAAATGTCAGAATGTGCTTTGTCTCAACTGTGTCTTTCCTCTCAGCACTGTCCACCCCGCATGTTAGGCAAGCTCATCTCCAGGACTGGTGGCCTTTGGGGGAGACATTTTCTAGATAGAAGGTCCCCTTTCAGGAGAGATCCCTGGCCTCTCCACATATTGTCTGGCTTAACTGGAAAGCCTTTTTCTTTTCTCTGGAAAACCTAATATTTTGGTGAGTATAATGTCAAAAGTGAGTCTTCCGTGGTCCACCATGTGTTACACATTGCGGAGTCTCAAATAGATTTGACTATTTTTGATATTTCGTTGTATGGCTAGTTCTTTTTTTAAATAGTCTCATTAAATCTTAAACCATATCTTGGATTTGGATGGCTTTGAACGATGAATAAATATAAGATACTTCGGCCATCCACCAAAGCATGGTTGGCAAAGTCCATTACTTTGCAGCTGGGGAAGCAGAAAATGAAGTGAGCTAATCTGTTTTTACCATTCAGAACCAGGGTGTCAGCAGGGAAAGTTTCACCGATATGAGCCTAAATTGACAAGAGCGCCTTAAAACGCTTGCCAACATTTCTGTTGTCCCTCCTCTCTTCTTTTCTCTGAAGGATCGTTGGTTCCAACTTGCTGTGTGGAGGAAGCAAGATACACGGCTAGTTCTCAGGTTGTTTTTGTGATGTGGGCTCAATAACAGGATGTATTTTGATCCACCAAAGATCCATTCTTGAATGTGTTTGTTTCGCACTTGCTCCTATTTTTATGTCCCACGGGATTGTTCTTAAAAGAAGTTTCTCCTTGAATGATAGGATGTATTCATCGTGTCTCTCCTCCGTCATCCCTCTAAAAGTCAGAAGACCTCCCCGTTAGGACTCAGACCATCATCTCCTCTGCTCCCCCCGAAGGTTTTCCTCTCCCAGAAAACGGGAGCTGTGAATTGCAGTTGGTTTGGAGTTCAAGCAGACTGAACTCAAGCATGACAGCAACTCCACTGTTTGTTCATCGGGCTCGTAAACCTGTCCCTTCCCAAGGCAGCCTTAGAGCAAAGTTTGATTTAATTGGCTCAAGCCCCAGAAGCAAAGGTTCCTGATGCCGGGTGCCTGGAGTTTCCTGCCTGGATCTGCATGTCTTGGCATTAAGTCCAAGAGATAAAACTAGGCAAGCTGATCCCAGAAAGATGGAGAACTGGAATAAAACTGCAATGTGCAAGTGCCCAGAGGGAGGATGAGCTAATCGAGAATCAAAAGACTCTTCCCTACTTTTGAATAGATGATTAAGAAAAAAGATTGGGTGTAAAAACAGGCAGTATGCTAAATTTATGGAATAAGTCCAGGGAAGCTGATTTTCTTTTTCTTGCTCAGTTTATCCCTTGGTGAAGTTTGATGTACAAGGTAGTGAGGATTCCAGGAAGGGTACAGATGGGGGGCCTATACTATGTACACGCTGTCAGGGGCTGACTTCCCTCTGGTAAAATAAATCCATCCGTGTCATGTGTACGGTGGCGAGGGGCCTGCCCGCCACCCAGCCCTCCGTGCTGGTCCAGCCTGAGGGCCTGTCCTGGCATCAGCTGCCCGGAACTGAGAGAGGAGTGGGCAACTGTGCAGGAGGTGAGGTTGTGCCTGTGAGAGCCGCAGAGGAGGTTTTGCCCTCTTGTTTCCCCACGGCTGGGGGATTTATGCCGGCAAGGACGTGAAGACTCGACAAGAAGCACTCTGTGACACGTTTCATGCAATAGCTTGAGTGCTTTTGGCTCTGAGGGGAGATGCAGGGGGGCAGGGGGGAGGTCGGCAGAGGGGAGGCAGGGGCTTGGCAGGTAGAGCCCATGCTGTGGTTGCTTGGTGTGAAAGTATTGGGAGTACAGCGTCAGGATTCAATACACAGCGTCGGTGTTTACAAGCAAAAATGCAGACTTTGGCAAGGTGATGGCAGTTGTGTTGTAGTTTGTGGATCTCCCCAAATCACGCCCTAAAAATGGGTTTTTGCTGGGATAGCTCATGAGGAGCTCTAGACCAGACAGAGCTCATGGAGGAGATCTACACCAGATGGAGGTGACAAGTATCCCCACAAACCCTTAATATGAGCATGTCATCGGCGTCTGTGCAGGAGGAAGCCGAAGGTCTGGTGGACCCAAGAACCCCCAAATAACCATCAGGAAGTTGAGATCTCAGTGAGCCAATTTGTGAGCAGCCCCTGGAACTGGGGCTTGGTTTGCCCACCCCAGCAGGTGAGCAAGAGGGATTTGCGGTAAGGCCTCCTGGGGCTGGAGCGGTCAGTGTACCAGGAATGCCTAGGGCAAAGTCCCACACCGAGGAGAAACTGCCGGGATAGGATCCCGAAGGAAGCAGCGCAGGTGCAGGAGACACAAAGGAAAGACTCCTCTTCCCCTCCAGTCAGACGGAACAGAGCCAAGACTTCACAGAAAGTAAGGGCTGTATTTTTTAACACATCACAAAGTCAACAGCAAAGGGGGCTCTAGAGCCCTGAATAAAACTACCCTAGTTCAAGTCTCTCTTCCAGAAGTTCAGAAGAATTAATTTCACCTAAAAATGGGCAAAAGAGAAAAAAGACTGAGGTAAAGTGCTATTGCAAACTTAAAAATAATGTGCAGAATGACCTGCCTACAGTGAAATCACATCATCAGGACATGCCCATAAAATAAATGAAAACGATAATGTCTCAAAAACATATCTATAGATTTAAAAATAATATGCAAGAACAACATAAGACAGAATTAGAAAAGATGGGAAATTAAGAACTCAGGAAAGAATTAGAAAAAGCAATCATTTAAAATATGAAGGAACAACCAGGAGGAACATGGGAATGAATCAATGCAACAATGTTTGAAGAGCAATAGAAGATGAATAAGGAGAAGAAAAATAAGAACAAAATGAATAAAAAGGATTTAAGAGAATGTGATAGTTATAAAAGATGGGTAAAAAATTTAACATTTATGCAATAGGTTTCCCCAAAGAAGAAAACTAAAGCAAGGAAATAGAACAAAAATGAAAAACTATAATTTTAGAAAACATTCCCAAGATTAGAACAAAACCAAAAAGTTTGAAATTACACATTGCAGGAGAATACCCCAAAACTGAATAAATAGACCCAGAATGACCACCAGGACATATTGTAATAAAGTTATCATACTTTAAAGAAAAAGAATAAATCCTTTAGTATTCAAACAAATGATCCAGTAACTTAACAATAGGAAAAATGTGGGATTGCCACCCAGAATTGTTATTATTTTATTATTTTTAAAGAGGTAGAAGGGACACAGCAGTGTGGCCCCGATTCTGGGTCTCCTGGCTCTCCATCCGGGGCTCTTTCCACCAAGGACAGCTGCTTCCCCAATTCCTGACCCACAGCGGATACAGCTGTGGGCTCCAACCTCCCTGCAGGGGGCCCCCTCCTGTCCTAATTCCTTCCCTTCTTCAGAGTCTCTATGAAGTGTTTCCTGATTGCTCCAACTGAAAGTCCCTGCTCTAAATTTCTGTTGCACTTTCTTCACAGACTGTAGTGGATATTCTCTTCATAAAACCAACCTTTTCCCATGTCTCTCCAACTAGACTTGTAGCTCGTTCGGGTCCAACACCAGCTATTGCCAGGACTGGGCACACAGTAGGTACTCGTAAATATTTATTGATGGATATAGTGGTGAAGACATTCCAAACATGTTTACAGCAGAGTGAACCACAGCAGTGAATTGAATTCGGTCCCACCTCTTAATTGTTGGTGTGGGGCAAGTTATATATCTTCTTTGACCTCATCATCGTCTGCAAATAGGGATGATATGATATTTACCGTTAGCACATTTGTGAGGGTTACGTGAAAAATTGAGCACAAAACAGCCTAGTGCTAGGCAGGTAAAGTAGTAAGTACTCAATTAGCTGGGACACCTATATTTTTCAGCGGAAGGTGAGGTGCCCATTTTGAATTCTCTGCTTATTTCCCCCTATTTCTTCCTTCTCTAATTTTCTCATATCATTACTTAAAAAAATAAACTTTATTGTTTAGGACAGTTTTAGATATACAGTGATGAGAGTATAGGGAGTTCCTTTACACCCTGCCCCTGGTTCCCCTGTTATTAGCATCTTATGTATTATGGTACATTTGTCACCATTAATGGACTGATGTTGATGTATTATTAGTAACTACAGACCATAGTTTACTCACATTTCCTTAGTTTTAACCTAATGTCCTTTTTCTGTTCCAGGATCCCATTCAGGATATCACATTGCATTTTGTTGTCATGTCTCCTGAGACTCTTCTTAGCTGTGTTTCTTGGACTTTCTTTGTTTTGGGTGACCTTGGCAGTTTTGAGGAGTACTGTAGAATGTCCCTCTATGGGGATTTTTCACATGACTAGACTGTGGTTATGGGTTTTTGGGAGGAAAACCCCAGAGATAAAGGGTCATTTTTATTGCATCATATCAAGGGTACAGACTTAGAACATGACTTTCCCATTGTTGTTGACCTTGGTCATCTGGCTGAGGTAGTGTTTCTCAGGTTTCTCCACTGTACTCTTAATCTACCATTTTCATAGTGTACTCGGGAAGGAAGTCACTATGTGTAGCCTACTAAGCTATGCTCAGTTTTCTTGAGGGTGGACTATCTGCATCAATTATTTGGAATTCTGCATAGAAGATTTGTCTCTTTTCTCACATTTTTTCAATCATTTCATATCCAAATTGACTTATGCTTTGGTTTATAACTAATACTACTTATTTTGTTGCTCACATTGTTCCAGCTTTGGCCATAGGGAACTCTTTCAGTTGGTTCCTTTGTCTTTTTGATACATTTCCATAATTGTGTGTGTGTGTGTGTGTGTGTGTGTGAAGCATGTTCTTACTTTCTGGCACTCCCAAGAAGCCCCAGGCTCATCTTGTATATTTCTCACCTCAGTTCTAGAATCAGCCATTTCTCCAAGGAGCCCTCGTTGCTTTTATTGGAGAAAGGTATTTAAAATTACCATCTGGGCAGCAGATGGGTGCTTTGCTACTGGGCTGTCATTGTTTGTAGGCC